CTTTTGCATATCTAAGTAAACTGACTTGTAGTGACTCTTTTTCTTTTTCAGTAATGTATCATGTTTTATAAGTCTTGGTATTTCTGGGTCCTACCTGTGTTGGTGACTTAGTAGACACTTTAGTGTTTAAACTAATGAAGGCAATATTGAAGGCTCTCGTACATACGTAGACTTTACTGTACTTGAGAGTGTAGAGAGTTAATGTGTTCTTGTTTTTTTTCTTTTAGCAGAATTTCACACTAATGAGCAACGTGTGTTGCCTCTGTTTTGAGCAAATTAAACATACCGATTTTACTATGAAATAATGAAGGCAGTTTGATTGTGGGGATGGATACATGACTGTGCTCTTACTGCTTGTTGAAACACATGTATAAAACAGTGAGTTTTACTGTATGTAAATTTAAAAATAAAAATAGTAAAATAAAGAAGGTGGTAGTAATGCTTACATGGGTTTAAATTTGAAATGGTGAGTGAAGATCAGGTAAGGAGAGTTATCAATGGAAGTTTGAACTTTTTTTTCTGCATTCCTGCTGAAGAGATTGCCATTGTGTCATGGATAACCATTGTAAGGCTTCTTGCTCTGCCCTGTCACAGTGGTAGAAAATACTGGTAAAATAAACTACTTTGAAAGTTCTTTCATATAAATAATTTTCTGGCCAAAAGTTGCTTGGATGCCAGCATGTGCACTAACTTAAAATGTGACAAAATGCTACCTCGAGACTTAACTGTGGAGTGCTAAAAAGTTAAAAGGAAGGTGTACGTTTTCTCTTTTGTAATCATGACATATACCCTGTGTTATAATTTTTGGCACTTGTATGCTACTTTTAATTTTATACTTTAGGTAGAGACCGTGTCTTGTATTTAGTGTCTCTATTTAGTACCTTATATTTGTCAAATAAATAACTTGCGGAAATTTTCTAAAAGTAGAAGGATAAAGGAGATAAAGGATGAGTGACTTATAGATCTTGATTTTTGCTTCTGGAACATGTATATATGTCTGATTACCAGGTGTTTAGGGTTCTTTTTTTCCCTACTGCTCCTTTAAAGTCTATTTTTTAATCAGTTCAGTAGAAACATTGTTATTAGGAATGACTGTTAAATTGATTTTTTAATGAATGTAAAACCTTAGTATTAATATATACAACTTCAGATTTCAGATATTAGGTAAGCAGATTTAAAAAATTTCATTTTGGTAATTTGGTCCTGATCTAGTGGTGGTAAGTTTATCTTTAGTAAAGTGATATCTTAAATATAATTAAGTTATAAATATAACAAGACTTTAGACATTGCAGGCATTAGCATTGAAAAAGATAAGCTTTTAGAAAGACACATTTTTTTTGTTAACCTCAATTCTATTCTTATCTGGCCCTAACAGTGTTAATTATATAAGCAGCGTGCTTTGTCACCACCTGGTTGGTGGTCTTACTTTCATCCTTAAGAAACTGGTGCAAAACCTCCTTAGGAAGGGTGCCTGTCTCATAAAGTCTCTAAAGGACTTTATACATTTGGGCAAATTATATCCCCAGCCCTCAGCAAAAGAAAGTGCAGTAGACAGAAATTACTACTATTCATGTGATAATCACTTTGAAATGAGAGAAGAGAAAGGTGTGAGAAAATATGGCTCTTTCAATACTTAACATAGCCTTGAAAATGACAGTTTGTCATCTGTTTTGCTGCCAGAATATTTATCTTTGTTAAGGTCACTTTCCAAGTATCACTAATGAAACAAACTCACACATCTGGGCACATCCTGTGGATAGGTATTCATTGGTGTTTTTGTGCTTTTTTAACATTTCAGTTCTCAGTGTCTATATTTACTTGTGTTATTTAGCACTTGAACACTGGAGGTAGATGCCCTGTATTTGAATCCTGGCTCTGCCATTTAATGTCTCTTGGCCTCAGTTACTTTACTTAACCTATTTTCTCTCACAGTACTTACCTCATAAATTGGTTGCAAATATTAAATAAGTTAATATGTGTCAAATACTTAGAACATTTCCTGAAGGGTTAAGAGCTAAGTAAGTGTTACATATGTAAGGTAACAATGATAGTTACTACCAACACTATTACCACTATCAATAGATCACAATCATATATGTTGTTTTGAAATATCTAAGGCTAAAATCATAAAATGGTTTGGTTTCTTACGAGGAATATTGAGTAGATTTAAATCTCAAGAATGAAGATTATTTTTTTCCTGCATTTGAGGCTCTAGGTGCTGTGATAAAGTGGAAGAGGTGTGCGGAGCTTAGGCATTGGGCAGGCTTGAGTTCATGTGCTAACTATGCTGTGTATTTCGAGTTTGATCATAGCTTATTCTTAAACCTTGGCGTTCATATCTGTAAAGGACTAAGATCCATGAGATTATTAAAACAGAGAGATCTTTCTCCACTGTATCCCTGGAGTCTGGTATGAAGTCTGTTACATAGTAGGTACTTAATCAGTGGAAACTGAGATTTAGCCCCTCATTTCGTCTGTATCTGTGGAGTGTGAATGTGTATGTTCATTTGTGGTTGTTCTTCCCTAATGACCTTTATAGGGCTTACTATGATGGAACTTGATCCAACTAAGGAGTATTTTTCCCCTGCTTACCTGGTTAGTCATAGATGGTATAAATCATTTTTTGGAACACCATTTTTGGCTCTATTATGTTTCTTAGAAAATTCACTTATGGGGTGGTCATTTAGAAGTGGATTTTGTTCCTGCAATTCGGGCAGTTGAGGCTCCAATGATGAGGCACTCTTCTGAAACACCACCCTTTCTGTGTCTTCATATATAATGCTAACTTTTACCTTACTCCACATCATGCTCTTCTCTGTACTTCCTCTTTCCTCCCATCAAAATCATTTGGGGAAAGAACCAAAGTGGAGAAGAGTGCTATGCTTTGTTCCAGAAAATGCTTAAGTATATCTGGGTTGGGCCCAGGAATCTATAGGTGATCAAAATATATGGTCAGTTTTTGTTTCTTAGAAAAGTCAATAGAACGATGTAACTTTTCTCTGAATAAAGGTCTTAATAAACCAAAGATGTTATTATCTTCTTCTAGATGGCTTTGTCAACATGTTAAAGTAGCTAAGCCATTTTTAAAAATACTAAAACAGGTCGATTGTCTTATTAAAGCTTTAAATAAATAGCTCCTCTTTTGAGACTTATGTAAGTCCATTCTCAGGGTATGAAAAGTGTCAGTGTACTGGGGATATCATAGATGATAGTTCAGGGGGGTGCCAAGTACTTAATGAATTGTGCAGAAAATGTTTCAGGGTTAGCTGCTGAAAGAATATTGTTAATGATACTTCACTCTCTTGGTCTGAGTCCTGAAACCAGCTAGTTTTTGTGAGATTATTTCTTGAAGATTGAATAATATACTAGAAAACATTTAGATTATTTCAGATTCTTTTTAGAGCTCCAAGTCTTTTTTTAGGACTCTTAATGATTAATAGTGGAAATATGCCAGAGTTAGTACATGCTCTGCCAGAAAATGTCATGCCTCTATTTTAGTGGTGTTTCTAAATAGAAAAAAAAGATATAAATATATTAGCTTTCTGGTTACTGTTACTTTGGTCACTCCAATTCTTTCTTTTCAATAGTGAATGGACACAATCTAAGCAGAATTTAAAGATTTTAGGTAGTTTTTAGAAGGTTATTTAATATACTTGAAAACGAGCCATTCAATGGACATTATCCAAGGTTCTCATGAATAACTAGGATATTAGGACATTTAACATCTTGTTCACTTTTGATGCCCTTTGCCATCCTCATTCTTTACAAGTCTTATTTCAGCCATGTAATGTATTTCCCTGTGTTTAAGAACAAATGTATGTGAGCAAAAAAAGAAAACAAAATTAAACACAGTAGTCAGTATAGGCTGAGTTCTGTGGAAGAGCAAAAAGAAATGGTTGATTTTTAGAAGTGGGGATAGATAGAAGGTTTAATGAAAAGAAAACATTTGAAATGAACTCTGAGTATAAGGAGAACTTCGGTAGCTAACAGTATAAAATACAGATTTAAGAGAACAAAATGAACAAGGACGTATTTTGTTCTAAAAATACATGGATTATTTGAGGATGGTTTCTAATCTGGTGTGGCTAGATTTAGATAAATAATACAAACTCTGACTGGGAAAGTAGGTTGGGGCCAGAGAGTTGAACTTGAATGGGAGAGACTTCAGCATGTTTCCTGTGCAAAGAGAAATACTTTGAATTTAGTAGCAATGCTACTCATAGTTGACATTAGGTCTCTCAGAATATAATTATTGAACCACTCATATGACCTGTATATATGTGCAAGATTTGATATTATATCATTAATATTTATT